TCCAAAGAAATCATCTGGCTTCGAAGATCCGGCTTCAGTCCGTCCCGGAATCTCCGAACTTTATCCTGCGAATTTTCCACCATCCTAGGTGCAAACTTAGTCAACCTCGCAAACTCCGCCTCATACTGGTCTACGGTCATCTGACCATGACGAAGTCGCATAAATTTCGCTAGCTTCCTTTCTTGGGCACTCTGAGAAATATTTTCCATAAAAACTTTCGGTAAACGCAACCCAAGTCTGGGCAGAACCTTTCGAAAACATTCTGTCCCTGGTGGCCTTCCACCAATCATTCGCACTGTCTTGCAACTGCTATACTGCTAGGGTTACTTTCTCAGTCTCTGTACACCCCAACACATCAAAGGCCTTTTCTAACTCCTCTACCCATCGCGGTACAGCCTTGGGGTTACCCCTACCATTAAAATTAGGCAGTTTCAACTTCAGGAACTGCTCCACTAATTGATGCATTTGTCTATTTACCGCCATCTGAGCTTGCCCTTGATTGACATTGTTTCCATTCACAGCTGTAGCTGCCACAGCCTCAGCAGCCTGGGCAATAGTGGCGGCCCTTTCCTGAGCCTGCCTGCTCGTAATATTTCCTATCTCATGCAGGGTCTGAATAACCTCCTCCATCCTTGGATCTCTGGCCTCTTGGCCTCCTGTACTAGGCTGCCCCTGGGATTCCTTTCCTCTTCTTCTCATCTTTACTGACCTTACTACCCGTCTACCTGCTATAATTCCATTCAGGAATTAGAAACCTAAACCAAGCTAAACCGGTCTAAGGTCCTAGGTAGGGAACTAGCACAATAGCAATCAATCACTCAGCATGGGGCTAAGCACAAACAGCACAAGGCCTCAACCAAGGAGATACACGTACTTACCTCAGGTCCTGCTGTACCTGCACTTTACTGGTCAATTCACATAAGCACTCAAACAAAACACAGACAGTCAGGAGGTACACTTAGCACACAAGGTTTCCCTACTGGCTACCCAAGGTCATCGCTCCTTATCACTCGAGGCTTCGATCTATTTGGACCGAGTTGACCTTGCTCTGATACCAAATCAAACGGGGATGTCACGCCCCGAACCCTACGAAGCGTAACATCCCAGCCGAGGTCGAATTTGTGCAACGCCCCAGGAAGCGTCGCCAACCCAAAACCCAAACAGAGATCGAGACACATGCGGAAGCAACATAAACACTCTTACAGATAAAACAACACGAGGCTAAGGATAGCATAACAACAAACAACGAGATAACAAATATACACTTATATTAACCAGGGAAACCTTTACACTATTCATTTACAGCACACATACACCACGAACCAAAAACGGATCGACGGCCACTAACTGCAAAAAGGGGTAAGTGGCTAGGTAGTGAGACTACTACCAAAGGTGGGGCTCCGATCAAAAAGGTACTGGCCCGACCTAACTGAGACTACGGCTAACCCTACGGAACCCAGTCCAGGTCGGATCCCGAGGACTCGGAAGATGAAGAACTATCAGACAGCTCCACCTCGGAGTCTAAGGAATCCAGCTCGGACTCGGCCTCTACTGGCTCCTCCTCAGAGTCTATCTCCTCAGGCTCGCCCTCTGGCTCAGGGTCCTCCTCTATAGGCTCTGGCTCCTCCTCCGGCTCTATCGGCTCCGAATCTAAGTCCCAATCTACTGGCTCCTCGTCCATCGGATCAGGCTCATCTACCTCCCAGACGACAGGTCTGGCGCCAGAACTCGAACTCCCCTCGGCTGTAATATCAGGGCTCGCTAGGTCTCCGTCGGCACACTGCGGGTCCACCTCGCCTAGCCCTTTAAACGGGATATCAAAAGTCCGAAGAGGTCTATACTCCCCGGAGTAGTCTTTAAAACACCACGCTACATACTCATGGGTCTCAAAATGTGATTCCCCCACATCGACTCATACTAAGGTATAATACCTAATATACATTTCCCCGTTCCCTACGGGGTACACGGACATCGTCTTCTCTATATGATGTGGAATCCCAAAACGAACCGGAACCTCTGACATCTTTAAGACCGGGGGTCTGAAACATTGGGTTTTAACAACAATGAGACGAATCTCAGCGAGTAAAAACCCCCCTCAACCTAAACTAGGCTAACATGCACCTCCTGACAGGCAACAAATCACATACAACCAGTAATAATTGACAATCGATTAACCTAGGCCCGATCGAGCATACAATTAACCCTGCAGATTAGGCATAATATAATCACAATAATGGCACATATGCAACAGGCTTAGTCACACGTACGCCATACACATACTCATGCCCTGTTTCAATAATGCACACTGGCACACGATTCATTTCTAAAATAGAGATCGACCCGCGTAAAACGCCTCAGGTCTATCATTTAATACCAACACTTCCTGGCCCGCGTAAAACGCATCAGGCCTGGGTGGATACAGCCTTTTTCAATCCATTCCACCAATAATACTGCTGCAGATTCTGGTACATTTTTGTGCTGCCTGGGTGGATACTATAATTGCTGCGATGTGCCTCCCTTAAAATTTCCTCCTTAAGCTCAACGTCATCGGGCAAGCACAAACGTCCTCGGAACTTTAAAACTCCATCCTCACTCACTTGGAAATCCGATTTTTTTGTAGCGGCGTCCATTCCAACAATCTTTTGGATCTCTTGGTCCGTAGACTGAAGTGCCTTAATCTTTGCCTGGATCTCAGGTTCGATTCTCAACGTGGCAAGCAAGTTCGACATCCGATTCACTTCGAACTTAAACTCTGAATCTCTGAGCCTTTTTAACAGGGTCCACTCCCTGACCATCATATACGTCATACTCGATTTTCGACTTAGCGCATCCGCTACTCAATTCGCTTTCCCGGGATGATACAGGATGTCGCGGTCGTAATCCTTAAGAAGTTCCATCCATCGGCGCTACCTCATATTTAATTCTTTCTGCGAAAATAGGTACTTGAGGCTTTGGTGATCCGTAAAAATCTGGAACTTTTCCCCACACAAATAGTGCCTCCAGATCTTGAGGGCGAATACGATCGCTGCCAACTCTAAATCATGCGTCGGATAGTTCATTTCATGAGGTCTCAACTGGCGCGACGCATATGCGACTACCCTTTCGTGCTGCATCAATACACAACCAAGCCCTCTTAATGATGCGTCACTATAGACCTCAAATCCTCCTGATCCGGACGGAATGGTTAATACCGGGGCAGCTGTCAGTCTATGCTTCAACTCCTGAAAACTCCTTTCACACTTTTAATCCCACTCGAACTTAGTTTCCTTCTTAAGCAGTCGCGTCAACGGCATGGCTATAGACGAGAATCCTTCTACAAAACGTCGATAATAACCAGCCAAACCTAAGAAACTTCGAATCTCCATCACTGATGTCGGCCTTGGCCACTTAGTTACCGCCTCAATCTTTGTTGGGTCCACATAAAGTCCATCTCCCGAAATTATGTGTCCAAGGAACGCTACTCTGCTAAGCCAAAACTCGCACTTACTGAACTTGACATAAAGTGCGTGTTCTCTTAAGGTTCGTAGTACCTCGGTCGAGTGTACCTCATGCTTCTCGGGGTTCTTCGAGTATACCAGTATGTCGTCGATGAACACTATGACGAACCGGTCCAAAAACTCCTTGAACACCCTGTTCATTAAGTCCATGAAGGCAGCAGGGGCATTGGTCAGACCAAAGGGCATCACTGTGAACTCATAGTGCCCGTACCTCGTTCTAAAAGTAGTCTTAGGAATGTCCTCTTTCTTGATCCTTAACTGATGATATCCGGTCCGTAGATCGATCTTAGAGAATACTGACGCTCCTTGCAATTGGTCAAACTGGTCATCAATCCTTGGCAGTGGGTACTTATTCTTAATCGTCACCTGGTTCAACTGCCGGTAGTCGATACACAACATCAATGTCCCGTCCTTCTTCCTTACAAATAGGACCGGCGCTCCCCATGGAGACACACTAGGACGAATGAAACCCTTGTCCAATAATTCCTGCATCTGGACTTTCAATTCTTTCAATTCTGATAAGGACATTCGATACGATGCCTTTGAGATCGGTTCTATTTCTGGGGCCAATTCTATAACAAATTTCACTTCTCGCTCTAGTGGCAATCCCGGCAATTCCTGAGGAAAGATTTCGGGAAAATTGCACACTACGGGTATCTCTTCCAATTTAGGTTCCGTCACTGTCGGATCGACCACATTCACTAAATACCCTTCACAACCTTCGTCCAACAACTTGGTCACTTCGAGCGAGGAAATCCAAGGGATCGAGGTTCCTCCTCGGTTTCCCTGAAATTCAAATCTAGGATGTCCAATGGGATTAAACTGGATCACCCTATCACCGCAATCCATTACGGCTTTCTGCCTTACTAGCCAATCCATTCCAATTATCACATCAAAATCAAACATGGCCAACACTGCCAAGTCAATTCTTTCTTCTCTACGCCCAATCACTATTTTACAGTCGGGACACCCTAATGACACTAACACCTTATCATTCAATGGGGTCATCACACATAACACAGTCTCAAGCATAACAGGCTCAATCCCAACCAGTATAACAAATTGCTTTGATATAAAAGAGTGGGTCGCCCCCGGATCAAATAATGCATACGCAGCATGATCACATAGAGAAATTGTACCTGTGACCACGCCTGGCGCGTTCTCAGCCTCTCTGCGCGCCATCGCATAAACTCGTCCTTGCGCTGGCGGTCTACCCTGATTAGCTGGTGGAGGATTTCCGGCTTGATTCTCAATTCTGGGCTGTTGCTGTTGCATCGAAGGTCCTGTGGGGCGCTGCTGGGGACAATTTCTTATCTTATGTTCCAAACTTCCACACTTGAAGCAAGCCCCAAATTGGTTCGGTTGATGGCTCGGCTTCTCGATATTCTTTCTAGCCGGTGGGACAAATCGCTTACTTCCCGCCATCGGTTTCTTCCCGAAACGGCGGTTGTCCCTATTCTAGGCAAACCGAGATCTAGAAGCGGCTATCCTTTCCATCTGATCTCACTCAATGGCCTGGGCCCGCTCATACATTTCCCCATAATCACGGATGTTCAAGGAAATCATCTTACTTCTAAGATCCGGCTTCAATCCGTCTCGGAATCTCTGAACCTTATCCCGCGGATTCTCCACCATCCTAGGTGCAAACTTAGACAACCTCGCAAACTCCGCCTCATACTGGTCTACGGTCATCTGTCCTTGGCGAAGTCGCATAAACTCTGCTAGCTTCCTTTCTTGGGCACTCTCTGAGAAATATTTTCCATAAAAACTCTCGGTAAACGCAGCCCAAGTCTGGGCGGTACCTTCCGGAAACACTCTATCTCTAGTGGCGAACCAATCAATTGCGCTATCCTGTAACTGATATACCGCTAATGTTACTTTCTCAGCCTCGGTGCACCCCAATACATCAAAGGCCTTCTCTAACTCCTCTACCCATCGCGGTGCAGCCTCGGGGTCACCCCTACCATTAAACTTAGGCGGTTTCAGCTTCAAAAACTGTTCTATCAATTGGTGCATTTGCCTATTTACTGCCATCTGAGCCTGCCCTAGATTGGCATTGTTTCCATTCACAGCAGCAGCTGCTGCAGCCTCAGCAGCCTGGGCAATGGTGGCGGCCCTTTCCTGAGCCTGCCTGCCCATAATATTTCCTATTTCATGCAGGGTCTGAATAACCTCTTCTATTCTTGGATCTCTGGCCTTTTGGCCCATAGCACTCGGCTGCCCTTGGGTTTCCTTTCCTCTTCTTCTCATCTTTACTGACTTCACTACCCACCTACCTGCTATAATTCCATTCAGGAATTAGAGACCTAAACCAAGCTAAACCGGTCTAAGGTCCTAGGCAGGGAACTAACACAACAGCAATCAATCACTCAGGATGCGGCTCAGCACCAACAGCATAAGACCTCAACCAAGGAGATATGCGTACTTACCTCAGGTCTTGCCACACCTGTACTTTACGGGTCAATTCACATGTGCACTCAATCAAAACACAGACAGTCAGGAGGTACACTTAGCACACAAGGTCTCCCTACTAGCTATCCAAGGTCATCGCTCCTTATCACTCCAGGCTTCAACCTAATTGGACCGAGCTGATCTTGCTCTGATACCAAAACCCAAATAGAGATCGAGACACATGTGGAAGCAACATAAACACCCGTACAAATAAAACAACACGAGACCAAGGATAACACAATAACAAACAATGGGATAACAAATATACACTTGTATTAACCAGGGAAACATCTACAATATCCATTTATAGCGAGCACTAAAAACCAAAAGCGGTCAACAGCCACCACTGACAAAAAGGGGTAAGTGGTCCAGGTGGTTAGACTACTAACTAAGGTTAGGCTTCGATAAAAAAATGTACTGGCCCGACCTAATTGAGGCTAAAACTAACCCTACAGAACCCAGTCCGGGTCAGATCCCGAGGACTCGGAAGATGAAGAACTATTAGACAGCTCCACCTCGGAGTCTAGGGAATCTAGCTCGGACTCGGCTTCTGCTGGCTCCTCTTCAGAGTCCATCTCCTCAGGCTCGCCCTCCAGCTCGGGGTCCTCCTCTATAGGCTCTGGCTCCTCATCAGGCTCCGGATCAGAGTCCCAATCTACTGGCTCCTCATCCATCGGGTCAGGCTCATCCACCTCCTAGATGACAGGTCCGGCGCCAGAACTCGAACTCCCCTCGGGCGTAGCTTCGGGCTCGCTAGGTCTCCGTCGGCACACTGCGGGTCCACCTCGCCCAGCCCATTAAACGGGACATCAAAAGTCCGAAGAGGTCCATACTCCCCGGAGTAGTCTCTAAAATACCAAGCTATATACTCATGGGTCTCGAAATGCGTTTTCCCCACATCAACCCATACCAAAGTATAATACCTAATATACATTTCCCTGTTCCCTACGGGGTATACGGTCATCGTTTTCGCTATCTGATGCGAAATCCCAAAACGTACCGAAACCTCTGACATCTTCAAGGCCGGGGGTCTGAAAGGTTAGGTTTTAACAACAATGAGACGAATCTCAGCGAGTAAAACCCCCTCAACCTAACTAGGCTAACATGAACCTCCTGACAGGCAACAAATCACATGCACTAGCAATAATTGACAATCAAATGACCTAGGCCCTCGGGCCTAAATCGAGCACACAATTGACCCTGCAGGTTAGGCATAATATACTCACTATAATGGCACATATGCATTAAGCTTAGTCACACGCACGTCATGCACTTACTCATACTCTGGTTCAATAATGCACACTGACAAACGACTCAATTCTCAATTAGAGTTCGACCCGCGTAAAACGCATCAGGTCTATCAATCAATACCAACACTTCATGGCCTGCGTAAAACGCATCAGGCTCGGTGTCTCTAGGCCGAGTAAAACGCATCAGGCGCAATACCGATCTCTATATACGAACCAAAACCCGCGTAAAACGCATCAGGCTGGCCGTCTTCCGGTAGAACCGAGCATCGTCCCGCGTAAAACGCATCAGGACTCATGATGATCACACATACACACAACCAATTTTATTAGAACCCCGCGTAAAACGCATTAGGGTATTTAAGGTGATCACATGCTCATGTCAGGCGCGCATACTCGCGTAATTCTCATCTCAAGCCAATGCTTAGCATGCGAAATGTGTGGCCATGCAGTCCCGCACTCGGGCAATAACATGATGTACAATGAGCATCCAAATTCACATAGGCACATAATCGAATCAATGCCAAGTCATGCTCAATAAATGCCACGACGTGCTCAAATAACAATACGACATACTCAAGTTAGTCACAATGTGTCCGACTAACACAATAGCATGCCCAATTAGCCAATTCAACTCAATCTTGCATGGCACAATATCGGCACACATAATTCACGCGACTAGGACAACATAATTAAGCACACACGAGGCCCGCCACACTACTCCATTCTCAGCCACTCTAGGGACACGCAACATGGCATTATGACATTCAAAAGAAGCAATCACCATTCAGCCATTTCAAGGACACTCAAGACTTGAACGGCAATTTCACGATTAATCCCACAACTTAGTCAAATCTCGCCCAATTGAATCCACATTGGGCGGTCACAATTCAGCCCACTCTAGGGACACTAATCCGCCTCCAAATCACCGCATTGGGTCAATCAAATCATCACAATATCAGCCATTACAAATCAGCCACTAATTCCCCTAAAATCACCCTAATTAACCCCTAAATCAACTTAATCGTATCTAGAAATGCTTAATTAACCTAATTAGGGTTTAGGGACTAATACTCACTTAATCCTAAGCTCCAAAAGTAAGCTGGACAGGCGGGGAAAACAGACGGACTGAACGGTTTCACGGCGACGCAAACGGCGGCGCTTGGGCGACGACAACGACCGGCGGTCCAAGGTGGTTCAATGGCGACAAGGGGTGCTGGTCGGTGGTGATGGCGGACAGGGGAGAGAGAGAATGGTGGTCGGGTGAGGGTGGTGATGGTGTGGTGGCGAGACGGACGGACGGCGGCCTCGGCGAGCGGCGGTGGTGAGGTGGCCGCGGCGGTGATCCTCACTGCCTAAGGGCTGACCGACGGCCTAGGAAAGAGAGAGAGTGACGAGAGGAGACGGAGAGAGAGAATGGACGGCTGGTTGACGGTGATGCACGGCGGGCATGGATGGCGGCGCTCCGGCGGCGGCTCCGGCGATGGCTGATTACGCGGCTGAGAGAGGAAGGAGGGGGATTTGGTGAGGAAGAGAGGAGAGAGGAGGGAGTTGGCCGGAAGTGGTGAGGAATGAGGGAGAGAGAGAATAAGGGGGGCTGAATTATTGGACTAACTTTTCATAATACCCATCTTGGCCTTCACTTCAGGGGCCAAGATCAAACCTTGTCCAATAATTGATAGGCACAATTGACCAATAAAAATCTGAATTATTGGGCTGATCTTATCCAAGATTTAATCCCCAAAATACCCTCCAACAATACCAAAATTCAGAACACAATTATAAGGCCTAGGGGCAAAATTGTCATTTTTCGATTCCGGGCCAAATTTCCATTTTTCGATCGAATTGATCCCAAATATAGTTGGCCACACTAAAATGATGTCGTCCTCGCAAAATAGTCGTGCACGCCCACGAAATTCGACGTCCAAGTCCGGATCCAATTTCGCGATCAAAATAGCTCAATTACAATTTTAGGGTCTCTCACTAACGGGCGGCTGTTTAGGGGTTACGCGTATCGACCTAGGATTACTCGAGTCATGATGGTCTCGATTACCGGGAGAACGTGAGGAATTATCGCTAGTTTCGAAGGTCGCGATCGTTCGGATTAAGTTAGGGATTTGTTCGCCACGCGTATTCTCGGTCGTTCGGAATCACCCGCAATTTGATCGTACGTCATTGGTCAAACTAAATCCGTCACCTTCCTAGGATCGGCCCACATTGGCCCAAAATATTTCCTCGTCGTTCCTCGGAATCGGTGCTTGATTCGCGATCGGCTCCCTGGTCCACGTACCGTTCTCCTAGTTAGCCATTCCCTATCGGTTAGTATCCTGAGAGTGATCAATTCCGGACGAGACTTACTAAAATTAAATGAGAATAATATCAATATCATTGATCTCGGAAATGGGTCTAATGCTTGATCTCGTGGTTGCCGAGTAATCAAATGAACTAATTTACTTGTAATCTTCTTTATTTGGAAGATATTAGTGCTTGGGATTCATTAAAACCAAGGTTGAGTGCCAGAACATCATTCTATGAGAGACCTTCCCATTCCAAGGAAGTTTGGCTCTTTTTGGGTCTAATGCTTGATCTCCTGGTTTATGAGCTTCTAAATCATCTAATTTTCTTGCAATCGTCTTCATCTATAAGCTACAAGCGCTTGCAAAAGGTTAGAACCAAGGTTGAGAGATGTAACATCATTCAAAGTAGGCACCTTTTCTTTCAAAGAAAGTTAGGTTCCGTTTGGGTCTAATGCTTGATCTTGTGGTTGCCGAGTAGCCAAATGAACTAATTTACTTGTAATTTTCTTTATTTTGAAGCTATTAGTTCTTGGGAATGATTAGAACCAAGGTTGAGGGCCATAACATCATTCTGAGACGAGAACTTCCCAATGTAGGGAAGTTTGGTTTCCTTTGGATCTAATGCTTGATCTCCTGGTTTCTGAGCTTCCAAATGAACTAATTTTCTTGTAATCGTCTTCATTTAGAAGCTATTAGCGCCTGCGAATGGTTAGAACCAAGGTTGAGCGACGTGACATCATTCTTAGCAGGCACCTTTTCATTCCATTTAAGTTTGGTTCCGTTTGGGTCTACTGCTTGATCTCGTGGTTGCCGAGTAACCTAATGAACTAATTTACTTGTAATTTTATTTATTTGGAAGCTATTAGAGCTTGGAAACGATCAGAACAAAGGTTAGGAGCCATAATACCATTCTAAGACGAGAACTTCCCAATGCAGGGAAGTTTGGTTCCTTTTGAATCTAATGCTTGATCTCCTAGTTTCTGAGCTTCCAAATCACATAATTTACTTGTAATAGTCTTCATTTAGAAGCTATTAGCGC